ATGTTTCTTTCTTAACACTTAACACAGATACATACAAACACAATCTCTCCCACTGTACCTTGAGCTCATTTCCTTCTGCAAAGTCCTCACTGAAGACAGAACACGGCCAGTTAACATTTCCCCATATTTAAATTAGTTTCAAGTCATCTTTAGGTTAAAATTCTAATTTAAATACCTCATTCCTATTTATTTTTGTTCTTATAGGAGTATGGAAATCATTTTTAAAAATCGCTAAATAATCTTTTTTTGATTCTTCTGTGGTTTTTATGAGCCATATGACATTATAATATCTGACTAATTCATAGCAAAAATAACCACCTCCCAGCCCTCATAGAACATATTTCTTTTATTCCCCCACAAAGTATTAAACGTATGGTCAAGTATGAATGTAGCAATTAATATCTGTTGAATGAATGTATAAACAACCTTGAACCAGTTTCTGCTGAACTATAACCTGTGTTAAAAGAGTATTCCTGTCTTTCAGATTATTAGGAACCTCCTTGAAGGGAGAAATGACTTCACTTAAAGCAAAAATGTGGATGTAGAACTGGCTGGTGGCATCTATTAAATATTTTTCATGAGTAGTGTTTGACCAAAGAAAGTGCAGGATCTATAATTTTTGAGAAGATATTTTAAAAAGAGAGACTGGGAAAGAGCTCTGGACTAGAAGTCAGGCAGCCAAGCTTCTAACCTTGGCCCACCCCAAACAAGCTGTGTGACTCTGGGGAATTCATTAGACATCTCTGGGCTTCAGTAATCTCAGCCAAAAAGAAATAACAGGGTGGAAGTAGGTGATCTCTAAGGATCTCTTTAGCACTAACAATTCGTGAGTCTACAACATGAACTCTTAGGTCAGGGTTTTGAAAATAGAAACTGCTGCCAAAAGGGAAAAGATTTGTATAGAAATATAAAAGTACCTGTCAAAAAAGATCCTTGGACAAAAACAGCTCTAGCTCTCTACCGAGGAATCATAATTCCTACCTTGTGGTCATTGTAATGGTCTCTGTGAACACAATTTCCTGTTGGAACCCGGTTTTGTTCTACAGAAATGTTGAGCTTTCGGGGGTGTCCTGTCACATCATTGGGCACAGCCTCTGCCCACGTTTGGCTGGCAGGTCACAGTTCTCGGGGTGCATTCAATCTGCCCCCACAACTCCACTGATTTTGTGCACTCATCCCGGGCTCGGGCTCATTTAACCAGCACAGCCATCTGACACAAAGACGGGTAATTAAACATCCTGTGGATTTCAACTCTAGTCTCCAAGATACTGTCTCCCCGACTCCCAGCTCTCCTGGTCCTGTCCTTCACATAAATCACCCCCGATGGCCGGGGGCATTGCCTTCATTTGTACCTGGGCTGTAGTGGGGAGATCTGGGCTCCAGAAGAGAAATACGGCAGCTCCAGTCAGTTGCCTCTGTTTCTTCCTGCCCACCCTCCACCAGGAGCCTGTTTTTTGCCACAAGATTTTGCTTTTGCCTGTTTCCAATCCAATACACACATTTCCCATAGGTGCCTAATGTGCCATCTGCATTTTAGCGAATATCACCCGTGCATTCAGCCCGAATCAAGGGCTTTCCCCGCAGCATCTGGAATGTGCGGCTCTGCCGGGGGCACTGGCACAGCAGGGCACAGGGGAACAGAAGAGCATCTGTGAGGTGGAGTAATCTAAGGACAGGGCCAAGGAGCTCTGCAGTAAGCACAGGAGAAAACTGGCGGTGATTGAAGGAAGGGAAGCAGAGGAACCTGGGTGGTGGGTCTTCCATGAACCTAGCAATGTGCCAAATGCTTTTAAACATTTTTAAAAATTGATTTGAGAGAGGGAGAGAGAAACAGTGATCTGCTGCTCCATTTATTACTGCATTTATTGGCTGATTCTCGTATGTTTCTGACAGGGGATCGAAACCATAACCTTGGCGTATTGGGACGATGCTCTAACCAACTGAGCCACCTGCCAGGGCCCAAATGCCTTAAATGTCATCTAATCACCTCAATGACTCTGTAGTGCCAGGCGCTCCTCAGACATGTGGGCTCAGTTCCGGACAACTGCAATAAAGTGAGTCGTAATCATTTTGCTGGTGCTGGGTCTTGCCTTCAATTTGTAAAAAAAAATCTGTGAAGAGCAGTGAAGTAAAGTGTAATAGAGCCACGTATGCTTGTGGTAGCTTCAAGGTCAGATGGAGGAAGTGAACCTGGGAGAGAAAAGAAAACTTGTCCAAGGTCAAGTAACTAACAAGTTCAAACCCAGGCCAGCTTAATTCCAAAATTCATGTTTTTTTCTTTTTATCAAATTGTTATGGGTGGAGAAAAAAGAAAGAATGTGAGGTCACGTGGAGGAGAGACAAGAGAGGGAGAGGGAGAGGGAGAGGGAGAGGGAGAGGGAGAGGGAGAGAGAGAGGG